ATGCAATTATTAAGGATTAGTTAAGGCTCCCAATATATTTTACAAACTTATATTTAGTATCGTTCTAATTTCAACGGAATATCGTAATTCAGCATTTTTCTTATGACTTTATGCAATTAAATTATTTGCCTCGATTGCTCGATTTAACATCACAAAATTGGTATGCGCATTTGAAAAAAAGTTGCCCAAGTGCTTTCGATACTTTGAGCAATGTATATATATATATATATATATATATATATATATATATGTGTGTGTGTGTATATATACATATTAAAAAACGAATAAGTCAACTGGAAATTTTGGGCTCGCGTTACGTATTTCAACAAATAAAAATCGTCTATCTTATATTTTATACAATCGTTCATTTATTAAGTATTTAAGAGCCTTGTATTTACATGTCTGTCCTTTTCATCTAAAATAATTTCACGAATACGTGTATGATTAAGCTAGGAGCCTTAGATTAATTTTAATACAAATTCAGCACTTTTATACGTTTAATTTCTTGGTTTCGTTATTTTATGCTTCTTATCTAATTTTTCATATGCTTCTCTATTATAGTAAATACTGAATCAAAATGAACTCGAAACTTTCTAATAATATTTTTATGCCAATATCTTTACGTAAGAATAAATAGCACGAATCAGAAAGAAAAAAAAAAAAAAAAATTAACTAGAAATTAAATAAAGACTAGGACAAAATGTAAATTCAAAGCTTTCGTTGACTCGATGATTTTTGATCGGAACGAAGCTTAGATGTTAATTATCACTCGCGTCTTATTATCGAATATTTACAAAGCGTATGTTGCAATTAAATTTCTACTCTGCTCCCTCGTCAAATTCAAAATATATATTAATCACCGAATGAATACATTTTTTGAAATCCGTCAGGTGTATTATTTCCGCCCAATAATAAATAAATTTACATCATAGCGAGAGCATTTTCAATCAATTACAAAAATAACTGAGCTATAATTCATTATTGAGTAGAGATAAATTTTATACCGTATTGTATAAGATATACGACAATTAAAACTTTTATCAAACAAAGTAAGCATTATTATTGCTTGGATAACTTGCAAACCTGTATTTATTGTATTGTTATTAATACCAATGTAATCATACATTAAATTTATTTTTTTCTAATAGTAATATTTAATAATGTAGGATTAAAAATATGGCTTTGAAAAATAATTCTAGGAGACATGAGAGAAAAAGTAAAAAGCATATAAAATTAAAATAAACAGCCGGTAAACAAGAAGGAACGTAAAATTTTTACTTTTTGCTTATTATTTAATAGTAATAACGGTAAATGAAAATATGAAATTTTATCCGCATCCAAAATATTTATCAAGCATGAGCGCACGCATATTGTCCGTTCAAATTTGATCGAAATTCGTGTTTGGGTGCCACGTCACTAAACTCATTGGCTTCGCACGCCGCATACCAAAATGGAACTTTTCGATAATAATGAATTGAAAAACTTTTGTCCTTTTATGTACGCTCGAGCCCATGCCGACACGTAAATAACTAATATTTCGACACCCGCACTGCTCATCCTACATTCTATCCCCCCCACCCCCACCCCTCACCACCCCTCATCACCCCTCATCACCCCTCATCACCCCTCACCACCCCTCACCACCCATCGCCAACGCGCACATTTACGTATGCGGGAGCGCGAGTAAGTACATGTTCATTCGTCTTATGCCTCGTTATACGACTCTGTACCATTACATTCGAATGTCGAGAATTTTTTTTAGAAATTTCGCATCACGTGCAATGAGTACTCGCACGCACAAGAGCACATATTTGCCACGTCACTCTGGTTAAATGGTGACTCTCCTTATTCTCTCTTTAAAAAGTATGTCCAATAGCGTCAGCAAAGCAACAAACCATCGCCTGTCGCCGACTTATCGATCCACTTACATGCCATTTACTACTTTTACTTCATTTATCTTTGTTCATTCTCGTTTTTTTTTTTATTTTTTTATTCCCCCCCCCCTCCCCCCATCTTTATCTCTCTTAATCGCATAAACGTTTTTTTCCCCAAATTGGCCTTCGTAATGCACGTTTTGAGAGCGTTTCGATCGATGAAGTTAATAATAATGATGTAAATGCACATGGCCAAGAATATTATTATTTTTAACATTGAGTACTGTTTTACTACAATATTTTCTTATACTATAATTCCTTACATTAATAGTTTAAAGTAATATCAACCATGTGTTCAATATTTTCATATTTATATTTTGAGTTGATAAATATCATAAGCATACAATCGATGTTTAAGAAACTCGAATATTCATTGTTAATATTGTACACGTGTATTATGTATTAATATAGTATTATGTAAATTATTAGCGTTTTAACAATAAGTAAATCGACCAATTTTCATGTATTATTTTATTAAGTTTATCGTATGTGTATCTCAATATTAAATTTCAAACAAAAGTTCACTGCTAATGTACAATTAAACACGGTATGTAATAATATCGTTAAATTAAATTTTAATGATTATTATTATATTTGAAATATTTTCCAAGATATTTGTAAATAATAGTTCTTTTATAATGTTATATAATTGCTATTAATTTTACACATACGATGATGGCTTACAGATTAAATGATTACAAATTAGACTTCAAATTGTCTTGCATTATCAAGTGCAATAGCATATTATATACACGATTAATTTATTGTTTCATTATTATTTCAATTAATATACCAAATATACTATTACTGATGATTTTAATTTTTATCCATAATTAATTATATAAGCACGTAAGTTAAAATAGAACAAGAATAGAAATATCATAGCAGTGTTTTTGTGCATTTTCATTGTTATTACAATTATATTCAAATTCCACTAAATACAAATATTATGAATATAAATTCATATTTATTTTATATATTATTTTTGGGCTTCACAATGAATGAATCATCACTTTCTTTTAAGAAATTTTCATTTAAATTCCAAGAATTGTGTATGACACATAGTGTACATTATCAATCACAAAGCATTTAAACAAATTTTGTATAAACAATTAAATAAGTTATTTAAACTTTTTTAATATATAAAATAGGCTTAAACGTGAAATATGGTATATAAATATCAATTTTAAAATAATTAATTTAAGTAACATAGAAATGTGTTTCTTTATTTGTTTCATCTCCAATGTCATACGTCGTGTGTTATTTTCAGTCTTTAAATGTGACTGAAAATAACTTTCAGACGATACTGTATAGCAGACGATTATATACAGAAATAAGTCGTAAGATCAAAGAAGTCAAAACAATTGTTCCTTGTCTAATTCTGTGATAAGTTTGTACGCACAGGTAGGCTTACACATAACTTTTACACAACAGCCAAGAATATAAATACGTACATAAGGCATATATGTGGTGCCGTTAGCCTTAGTTAGTTAAACGTAAAACATTAAAATAAATTAAGGGTCGTATTTATATCATTATTTCACGATACTGAGAAGTGATTGCGCTTGCTTTAAATTTTTTAAATACTTTGATAGCTTTAACACTTGGCAATTATGTTTTCCTTTTATACTCAAATCAAATTAATGCTTACTTATTTATTAGCCATTGTTTTAAAACAGATGTATTACAAAATTTTATTTAGAAATATTTAGTGAATTGAATTTTTATGTACTGTCACACGTAAACGTATGCAGCAAATGATTTATCATTTTCTATCAAACAGATGGTGTGTGTAGGAATTCACGACTAACGTCGTCTTAAACTATGTTTTTGCGTTAAAGATTTGTAAGCAGCGCCTTGTGAACAGATTAATATTAATACAATTAATCTCTGGTGAAATATCAATGAAACGTTATCAGAAAAGTGATAATATAGCTCTTCTTCATCTTCCGAAAATACGCATTGCTTTAACATAATGCAAATATTGATATAATTATACGGATATTATAAGCAAATGTCGAGGGACAAAGTGTTATATTTGAAATATTAAACGTTCATCTCAAGTTGATCGACAGCGCTTTCTTTTCATGTATTCATATAATATTTAAATACGTCTCGTAATATAGGTGTTTTATTAGAGGATTAAAGGATTTTTGAAGCTAAGCAATATATATCATAGTGTATGTGTCATTCATATCTAATTTGTATAACAAATAAAAAATACTATATGCCTATAAATTTTTTTTTTAGATTTATATATATTTTTTAAAGAATAAATTGTATTTATAATTTAAAGGAACCTCTGTACAACCGAGCGAAGAAATATACTTCACGGAAGAAAAAAAATGTTGTAACTGTACTGTTATTTTACTTCCTTCTGCTACAAATTAAGAGTTGACACAAATTTAAGTTGGATATGAAACGCATTCGATCCTAACAAAATAAAAATATATAAAATAATTGTTGGTCTTTCTCTTTCGGTACTTCAACCTTACTATCTTCTTTAATTTCTCACGATTATTTTTATATTTAACTATTCTATTTAATGCTTTATATTGTTAAAACATAATTTTATTATTATTATTATTATTTTTTTTTAATTAGAATCATAAAAGTATACTGTAAGTACAATTAGAAAACAACATAAAATATTATAAATTTTGCATACACATCATACATATATATTCTCTCTCTCTCTCTCTCTCTCTCTCTCTCTCTCTCTCTCTCTGTGTGTCTGTGTGCGCGCGTGTGCGCGCGTGTATGATTGAGCGTTTGCGTGTATACACACATATTATTAATACATATAATATTAAATAATGAATAAATTATTATATTATAAATACGTACAATATAATACATTATATTATTAATCTTGAAATTTAATCGAACGTAAGGCAGAAACTTTTAATCATGTATCGCAATTACATATATATATATATATATATATATATATATATATCCATAAATAGCATACTCGGGGAAATTTAGCCTATTCCTTTTCTTTCGCCTAAAAAATTTCGAAAAGTGCCATATTTTTTTCTCATCTCGTTGATCTATTTATTGCAGTTTGGTGTAAATAGCGACAGCGGATTGACGAGCAATGAAGCAACGTTTAACGGCATCGATAAGTGAGTAGACCCACGAGCAGTAAAGAAAACATTAATCACGACTTATTATATAAGCAATATCATAACACAACTGTCAAATATTAAAAAATGTAGGCTTATTGAATTTTATGACTTTTAGGCGTAATAACGTTTTTACGTGACACAGAAATGATTAATGTTTTTCTTCACTTATTTCTCTATACTTACTGGATAATTTATTTATTTATAATATTGTAATTATATTCGTGAATAATAAATTATAATAACCTTCATTGTATGATGATGATTAAAGTGAACAAATTTATTTGTATTTAATTTCTTAATAATCCATGATATTTCAGTTTGAAATGATTGTTAAAATTATTAAAATTAATATTGTATTATTCAATTATTAGTTAAAATGCGGTACACAAATTCTTTAAAGAAGTAAAAACTTAACGAATTATTGTTAATCGTGTGAGTAAGATGATTACGTAACGTATGAAAATAATATAGTCACTAAATACCTTGAAAGAAATTGTATAAAGGAATTGATAGATTAGATTTGACTTTCATATTAACGCGATCGTTTTCATCGAACGATTATTTTCAATTATAAACTAAATTATTTGAGTAATTGCTGTGGACGATCTGTTCATTTCGTAATTTTCGATGAAATTATAATGAGTAATTGTGTTCTATTCTTGTAGGTTTACAGTTAATAACGAAATACTGTATCCAGAGATATGTGAATGGTAAGTTATGCAAGTTAACGTTTTATCTCTTTCGTTTGTTTTTATAATGTCATACTTGTCTAGTCGTTGCAATGATACGCATACTTGTTTATTCATGAATGTTGTTGTTCTGTTAATCTGTAACGAAAATAAATGTCGAGCGTGGAAAAAACCTTTTTTATTAACGGTAAATATTACGAGAATGTATAATGAATATATTTTATTGTCATATATTTATTTAAACTGAAATCAAGTAGATTTCGTGGTGATTTTTTTTTTTTTTTTTTTATGTAACATAAATAAGTAAATTGCTCAGTTTTATTTTTTAATAACTATTTTTCTTGAATAATACATGAACATTAATGTGATAGGGTAGTTTTTTAAATTCGCAGACATGCCAGCTTAATTAATGAAATAGCCTTAATTAATCGTAGATAAACAATTAAATATTATTTTATAAATGATTTTCTACAATCATATCGTTGCCTTATGATTACTTGATTATCTCTCATTATTTTACTATTAAAATCTTTGTTGTTAGTCTTGATTTTCTTCTCGAATAAATAGTTTCAATGTTAGAATAGTAAGAGAACCTTCGAATTCAACGATTGGAAACAGTCATTTTATTTGAATAATTACTGAATAATAAGAATTACTTATTCGTTGATTAATTAATTATTAATTGTTAAATACATCATTTCTTTGAAATAGCAAAATATTGACGATTATCAATGCAATGAATAATATAATCATCATGTTTTGCTTGCATACAAATGACATGATAATGTTTTTTTTTTTTTTTTTTGTCAATTTTCAAAGGTGCAAAGTAAGCTTCAAGTTCAACAAAGTAAAACTACTTAAAATAAAATAATAACATTATAGTACACTACACTACATTAGAGCTACGTAATTTATAAAAAAAAAAAAAAAAAAAAAAAAAAAAACAGTGTTCTGTTGAAAATTCGAGTTATATAAAATTCTTCTATAAATATCAATGAAAGTAAATATCAATAAATATTCATGAAAAAATGAAATGATGATAAAAATAAAGTTTAAGGAAACATAAAAATTCTTTACGATATAACAGACATTTCATGATATTCTTTTTTTTTGTTATTATTATAAGTTTATTATAGTTTATTATAACTATATAATTGTCGTTGTTTTTTTTTATCTTAATTCGCGTTAACAAAAAGTCTTCAAGCTAGTTTGTAGTTATTAAAGCATTAAAAAAAATATACAAGAATTCATAAATATAGTATAGCCTTTGGTATATTTTTGTTTGCAAAAATCAATGTCATTTAAATATTTACGTAATCTGTGTATAGTTACAATTAGTTTACTCGATTTGAATATTATGTTAATACAGAAAACAATTAAGTTGTTGTAGCAATTAGTAGTTGTAGGTTAATTTCAACCATAAAGATAGAAAGAGTTTTGGAAATGAATTTTCTTCAAACGAAATAAATAATCAATTCAGGCTAAAATTGCAGGACTGAAAAAGAAAGTGAAATTTAAAATAAAGATATTGAACGAGAACTCAGGCTTTTTACTACATGTTTGTAGGCTGAACTCCCAACTAGTTATTAAAATTATAAATAAGTCTACATACAAGTTGGTGCCCTCGTTTTTCTTAATAATAAAAATAAAATAAATGGCTCGACTAAATTTTCAAAAAATTATTCTTTATTATTTTACGAGAAATTGTATCGTAGAATTATAATGATTGATGCCTTTACACGAATGACAAAATGAAAAACAAAACTATTATTATTATTATCATTATCATTATTATTATTATTATTATTATTATTATTATTATTATTATTATTATTATTATTATTATTATTATTATTGTACAGGAATCAGATAAAGAGTAAGCATTATTACATAAGCGGCAAAAGCAATATATTTTACTATTAAAATTATAAAATGATAATGAACGTGATAGCTCTATTAATGAAAATTTCATTTAAAACGAATATTATTTTCAATATCTTTTCAAAAGTGTTTGATGCAATCGATAAAGCATTTGTAACTATAATTTCGTACGCTCCGTTCGATTATTTGCATTTTAAGTCATTGTAGAAAATTCAATTACTACAAGTGATAAACATTCTAATGTCTCAATTTTTTTCTTAAATATTATTTAACCGAAGCTTACAATACTTAAAAATCCCATTGCTCTATTGGGAAAAATGATAATTCTAGGCCTACGAGACATTTCAATGCATTACGGCACCATTTCAATTTTACAGTACAACTGTGGGTGAATTTTTAACAGCGAGCGGTACAAATTTTTTAACAAATAGTAAAAAACATTAGTGGAGCTTCCTTGAAAAGTAATTATTTTATTATTTTTTTTTTTTTATAACTTCTGTAATCATAATAAGGATCTGTGCTGTCATTAATAATTATGCACATCAGTTGCTGCGCAGCATGCGTGGTTCGTACATTAATGCGTACAGTCATACACGTGCGTCTGTAGTCTTATGTATGTGCAATAATCCGATAATCACAAAAAGCGAATAAAAGTCCAATGCACCGAACTTCAATCGCGTTTGTCGTGAAACGTGACATTCCGAACGTCATCGTCCTCGTGCCTTAGTCACTCAACATCTTCAAAATTCTCATCTTTGTGCGTTTAATGCGTTTAATTTGTTTATCAATGAATAGAACGTACGATCGTTGTTGTTGATTTTTACGGTGATGAGGCGGTTTTGCCGAACTATTTTTCAAAATGTAATCTGAGTTTCGTTTAAAATCAAACTTTCAATCAGTGGTTTCGCAACGGTATGGATTAACTCTTATGGATTTTGATTGACTAAATTTTCTCGTTACATAGTTCATCGACATTTAATATTATTTTTCCACCAATACCAATACATGTTAGTACAAGTAACAAACAAAAGTTATAAATATCAGTAGGACAGTGACAAAGTAATAGTTTAAGTACATCTTTTCATTATTGGATGTATACAAAAAATTATTATTGTCAATTTACTGATATTCTTTAATATAATTAAGTAGCGCTATAGTTTTTCTTTTAATACATAAATAAGAACTAAAAGGAATATTATAAGATAGAAAGTCAAGAAATATATATCTGCACACATGCACATAATATGCATTAAAAACTTCATTAAAAATTAAAACTAATACAAATTAAAACTAAAACAAATATTAGTAACTGATAAATTACAGAAAATTAATATCACTTTTATAATATTCTATTTCAACGATAATTTATCACATATAAATAATAAATACAAGTAGTAAATATAGGTAGGCACGTTACATTAAATAAATTGTCAATTATATAATCAATTTTATTTTAATATGCAAATATATAGAAAATTGTATATAATTATAATTGATTGTGTATGTATTACTGTAAATATATTATATTTCATTTCACTAGCAATAGTCAGCCTTTTTATTAATGTAAAGCTCGCACGCGCGCGCGCGAAAGAGAGAGAGAGACAGAGACAGAGAGACAGAGACAGAGAGAGAGAGAGAGAGAGAGAGAGAGAGAGAGAGAGAGAGAGAGACAGAGAGATTATTTAAAAGCCATAAGAACTATTTCATTAACGTTTGAATACATATGATTAAATAAGCATTTATTTTCTTTATTTATTTTTACATTATTTCGTAATGTATATTTACTGAATTTTTGGAATAATTGTGAATTATTGAGTTATTATTTTTAATTAATCAATAATTCAATACATTCTCCATTAATTATTATTGTTTATAATATAATAATTAATTGGAATAAGAATAAGCATGCTAATTTAATGGAATAATAATTATTAAACGTTCTTAATTTTAATTTCCAATTATTAAAAGAGAATAAGTAAATAGTTAATTACAGGTTTTTTTTTTTATTTTTCTCGTAATGAATATATGTCATTGTAGTTTATATATTAAAATTTCTTCTTTTTTTTTTTGTAGTATTTATTTTCTATAATTTCCTATTAATACATTATTTTATGCTTTTTCAACGAAATTATTATTTAAATAACTATATTTCTTAGAAAAGAGAATGAAACAACTCATAATATTTCTTATTTATATAATTCTCTATTTATAAATTATATAAATTTTTAATTGAATGGAAAATGATTAATGAAACTATAATTTATTTTAAAACCTTTCTCTCTTTTTTAAATGTTTTTAATAAATTAGTCTTTCATTTATTATTATTATTATTATTATTATTATTATTATTATTATTATTATTATTATTATTATTATTATTATTATTATTATTATTATTGTCTAATATTGATAGTATTCGTACTTGAACCAATCGATGATTTCAAAAGGTTATTTCCGCATGTCGAAGTCATCGAGCTATGTTAACTACTATTAAAACTGCTGGTCGTCGTGTCCCCTTTAAAAATGTCATATTTCTAATATGACTCCTGAAAGGGAAGTCGAGCCTCATCCTTCATCGTTTCTCGTCCTGCGCAAATATTGAAAAAAATCATTGAACAAATGCAGCGGAAGGGGACCGGAGGTATTTGGCATTATTTTGCTTCCGTCCCGCCATCTATGGGCGCCACCGTGAAATTATGACAGTCGCGAATCTATTTTGTCTTGGGACGTGAAATTATTTAGTAGCAAATGATTTTTGAAGACGTTTAGTTTTTTAAGATTATAAATTTTTTATGAAAAAATTCTTTGAGTAAGTGCGGCTTGCGGTTAAGCCGTGTTGATATTTTTTTTTTATATGAACCTTTAGTAATACATTGCGATGAAATTAAATTCGTTGTTATTGTAAGGTTATAATATTACGTCAAGATAGGGGTTTTAAATTTGTAGTTTTGAAAAATATGTTGTACAAAGTAATGTGCCGTCTAAAAAAATGATATCCAGCATTCCTCAGTATGTTAATTAATAAGCTGTTGAAGAGATTGATACTTCCAAATTCTAAGAGATTGAATTATTTTGCAATAAAATTTAGTACACAATATCAATTAAATGAAGAATATGCGGTAAAAGAAGATAATTTATTAAAAACTGAAATTATTGTACAACAGGGACTTGGTATTTTCGAGTTGCCAATGATTATTAAGAAGACCAATGATTTTGCAAGATTTTTGGATAAAAAAAAAGATATTGACATTTCGTTAGATAATATGTATATAAAGCAAACAGACATTTCAAGCATTATTAAGTCGCATAAAGAGTCTAACGTAGAAATGACGGGGAAAAAGAAGTTCAATAATAAACTAGAGAGTATTCCAATTTTATTTACTGCTGAATTGGAGCTTATTCAAAATATGGAAATAGAAGATATTTTTAAAAAATTTGACACCATAGTAACAGAGAATAAGATGAACTCGCCTTTAGAATCTTTAATTTATAACGAGATAAATAGCAAAATTGCACTGCAATCATTAAAGAAGGTTTTTGATTTAGAAATGAAGCAGCAAAAGTTTAAACATTTTCCACAATTTTCAAACGATCGAACGGCAATTATAAGACAATTACTAAAGCATCTTATAAACAGTAAAGACAGCGAAATAATTATAGAAGCATTGAAAGTATTGTTAAAAGAGAAGTATATTCCATTAAATAAAATGTACAAGGATATACTTATTAATGAAGCGCTGGTTAGATCAATGAACGGAGAGTTCAGTATTCAGCAATTAATTGATATTATTCATTTTTTTACAAATTTTAAGCAATTTGAATGCGAGGAAGTAATAGATTATTTTTGGACTGGTTTTACAATCAGGCAGGACGATATTACGGCTGAATATTTGGCACCATTATTTAAGTCACTAGTACATATGAAAAGAAGTAGAAATTGGGTACAGACACTATTAGAGAAAAAATTGGCAAACAATTTTCATCACTTGCAAGTATATCAAATGATCGATATTCTAAATTTGCTTAACAATGATTTTCATTCGTCTGTCATTTTGAAATGTGCCAGCGAATGGACAAACTTATACTTTACATCAATTTCAAAGTCCGATGTACTAAAGTTTATAGAAAACCTCAGTGATATCAAATATATAAATTCTACGATTGAAAAATCAATTGAAAAAACTGTAATAAAGAGAAAAATAAAAAAATGTGATTATAAATTAATGTCAGTTATAATTTCTTATTGTTCGAATGTTCGTCTTAGAAACATGACTATTTGCAACAAAATTGAAAAGTATTTTCTCATGTATGGAAATAGCTTTCCACTATTTTTATTTATTGACATGATTAGTGCTTTTGGAAAATTGAATTATGGACCTCAAAATAAAGAAATGTTTTGGAAAATTTTTGAAAATAAATTGGATCAAAAATTTTTGCAATTCAACGAAGGTGAAATATTAGATATATTATTATCTTGCGCATACATAAATCAATATTTTCCCAAATACGTAAATCACATTTACTCGTCAGAATTTTTGAATAAATTACACTTGCAAAAAGATATGAAAACCGTGCAATATTTAAGAGATAAATTACATATATTGGATATAGCAATGACTTTGGAATGTTCAGCATACGATGGTCCTATTTTATATTGTTTTAAGCAAATTGATCCGGCAGCTGTTGATCTAAGAATTAATCAAATAATAAAAAAGGTTGATGCTTCTCTAGTAAATTTAGCAGGAGGTAATGCAAAAAATATAAGTAGACATGTTACGTTAGATAAATTCTCAAGAACAGGACTGTATACACTCGATGCTTTAATTCATAAGAAGGTGAAATCCAAATTGATTTTAGAGTTGGATTTAGTACAAGACAGAAATGAAAATACAGCGATACTTATAATATTACCAGAATATTATTGCTGGAATTCTACTAATTTAATAGGGGAGCAAGCAATGAAAGTAAGGCATCTGAGGACAATAGGTCTTAGAGTCATGCTTCTTGATTTTCAAACATTGTACGAATTATATAATCAACTCGATAAGTTAACCAAGTACTTGAACGCTTCATTTCTAACGGCCCACGAAGCACTTTGATATGGTATAAAATTTATATCAAGCGTTAATATTAGTTAAATGTGTTTGTAAGTCGACTGTAATGAAGAAACGGTATCTTAGAAATGTGTATAAAAAAATATTATTGAAATTACTTACAAACACAATTATCCTTGTTATCGAGAATCAATTAAATAATTCATATTGAAGGAGTAATTTTGTTTTACAGTCGTGTGATAAAGTCTCCAAAGGAATTGGAAGTTTTACGGTACGTCGTACGCGTAAGTTCTGAAGCTCATAAGGTTGTTATGAAATTAATGCGTCCAGGATTAACAGAGTTTCAAGCTGAATCAGCTTTTCAACATTACATTTACTCCGAAGGAGGATGCAGACATATTTCATACACTTGTATATGCAGTTCCGGAGGCAATAGTGCAATATTACATTATGGACATGCTGCTGCACCCAATAATAAATTGATTAAAAATGGTGATATGTGGTAAGTGTGGGTCATACGAAATAAACATTTTGATATATTTTAATCAAAATTTACCTAATAAAATCAGAGATACCACATATTTATTATAACTACGAGCATGAAAATACTTCTTAAAGCTACTACTTGTAATATCCTGTATATCTTAACTCTAACATCTTGCTAATAATAATTACCAATAATAATTATATTTGATTTAGTCTTTTTGATATGGGTGGAAATTATTGTGGATACGCAGCGGATATAACCTGCAGCTTTCCAGCCAATGGTAAATTCACCGTAGATCAAAAGTTCATTTACAATGCTGTGCTGGATGCGAGAAATGCCGTATTGAAAGCGGCTAAGCCTGGAGTTCTGTGGACAGACATGCATTTGCTGGCTAATCGAGTGATGTTAGAAGCTCTGAAGGAAGGTGGCCTGCTACAGGGAGACGTAAACGACATGATGAAAGCTGGTTTGAGCGCTGTCTTCCAACCTCACGGCTTAGGACATTTACTTGGTCTCGACGTGCACGACGTCGGTGGTTACTTACCCAATTATCCAGCACGTTCAACGGAACCTGGCCTGAATAAATTGAGAACCGCTCGCCCATTGCTTGCAGGCATGGTCCTTACTGTCGAGCCTGGATGCTACTTTATAGACAGGGTATATTTAATTAACGAGGCCTTAAAGCATGGCAATTGAGTATGGCATTAATGTATTATCTTCACGATCTAACCATAGATTGTTTTTAATTAATAATGTTATATGCGAATAATGATACAGATACTATTAAGTGATGAATTTTAATGTTGAACACGTTACACACACATATATATATATATATATATATATATATATATATATATATATATTGTACATTAATTATAAAATTCCTTTATAATTAAATTCATAAAATAAATATATAATAAACGGTAAATTTTGTCATTTGCGATAGATTTTTATTCAGTTAACGAAATACTTTTCGAACAATACTAGCTTCATAATACCAAAGAAGTGATTACTTTAGCAATGAATCGTTTATTTAATTCGTTTAAAAAGTTTTTGTGAAATTTTTTTACGAAAGCCAAACATTGCGATCACTTTAGTATTGCAATTTTTATAAACAATATTATGAATACGCCTTTTAAATCAGATCATTAAAACTTCCATCACTTTTAATAAACCAATTAGTAAAAAAGAATTCTTATTTTTTGTAATTACGCATTATTATTAATTTATTAATACAAAAAAAATAATGCTAATATTAAATGTGCCATGGTTGCCCCATTTATGATTACAATTAAAGAAACAATGAACAAAGCGAATGAAGCGCGTGTGTGCTTTTCCGACTTTACAGCTGCTACATAAAGCTAAAGAGGACAAAGAGCAATCAAAGTTCATTGTATGGGAGAAATTGTCGAATTTTCGTGGTTGGGGAGGTGTGCGTATTGAAGATGACGTGCTGATCACGGAAACAGGTACCGAGAACCTCACGGACGTGCCGCGCACGTAAGTTAAAATAAACATTTAATCTAATGCGTTCAGCATACTCAAGGATATACGTAACGACTCAAGTCGAATATCACTTGAATCTATTAGTTTATAGTTGAGTTAAAAATAGATAGTTATATCAATTTTATAAAATTCAACAATTCTTAAATGCAGAGATGCCCAGCCGTGAAATTTATTCTGCCAAATTCGTAAAAATGTAGTGAATCATAATCAACGTTTATTGCAGCAAGATATTCAATAAGTATGGTAGACTTACAATATTCAACTTACAATAATGGAAGTAAATAGCTAAATGAAATTTTTATTTTATAATACCAATTTCTTAATAGTGTACTTTGCAAGATTGATGATTCAAGCTTTTTTGTTTTTTTTTTGTTTTTTTTTGTTTTTTTTTGTTTTTTTTTGTTTTCAAACGAAAAAAAAACTAATTTATACGTGCCATCGTGGAAAATTAAATCGATAATTTATGTTATTTGAGAGTATTTATTTTAAAATAAGAAATGTGTCTATATATACATATTTTTGTTTTTTTTTTGTTTTTTTTTTTTTTTAGAAATTTGTAAAGAGAAACACCATCGTCTATTATCTATGGAAAACGCGTTAACTTATTGTTTTTAATTTTTGATGCGAAGACCTAATAATTTTGCCGTGACTCCTTATCTATATATAAACAATCTCTTTTTAAGCGTACGCGTTACATTATTTTTTATTTTTTATTTTTTATTAAAAAAAAAAAAAAAAAAAAAGAAAGAAGAAAAATTTAAATAAAATTTATAAAACAGAAATATAGAAAAGTAAACAAATGTCGTTAAATATAAATAAATACACACGAATGAAAGTTGTAATAGTAGGCTATGTTACATCATTATTATGAAAATACATTTTTTTTTTATTATCCATCGATTATTATTCCCTGTAAAAATGTATACATCAAATCTACGAAATTTTGCAAAAAAATGATTTTTAAGCGATCGTTTAGTTATTTATTACAGATATTTTTAAATATCTTCACTTTTCTAATATTAAAGATAAGATGATATTATATTGAAAATATTTTCATTAAAAAAAAAAAAAAAAAAAAAAAAAAAAAAAAAAAAAAAAAAAAAAAAAAATGCTAATTTAGAAAAATGAAACATAACATTAATTAGGTATTTCATTTATAACATATAAATAACTAATTTGAAAAATTGTATGAAAATTTAATTCAACTTTTAAAAAAGGTAATTGAATTCTCTTTCTGATCTTATAAACATACAAATAATTTAATTCAATTAGACATAGGAAGAAAAAATGGTTCATGCAATTCCTATCGCTTTTCGTATTATTAATTACTACTTGCTTTAATGAAATATTCAGAATATCAATTATTTGAATAATTTGATAGCGTTGAATTGTATTGCAATTTAATATTTTAGATATGCTTATGGAGGAAATTGTATACTAGTCATTTTTGAACGGGAACATGGTTTTGAAGCAAATGAAAATATAATTATTATTTTAATAATAACAAAAAAAAAATTGTGTTACCGTAAAACTTAGACTAAAAGTAATGTCAAGAACCTCTATGAAATTACTTTCGTTAGATTTGCTATTTTAATTTAGATAACATTCTTCTGTCATAATTTGAAATAATCTAAATATATGCGTTGGAAGAAATTTCAACATTTTTTAATTAAAATTTGTAGATTCCACACCTCAACACATACGATAAAAGATATGACTTTGTATTATTTTATTTATAATATTATGTTATAAATATACAAAATATTATGTTTATTCTGTATTTATATAATGGGATCACTAACATGCATTGCTATTTCTATTTTTTAATATTATTTAATATTATTTATAGTTAATAGGACAAAATTAATTACATTGATGAACTTAATTGAAATTAATTAAACGTTAGACTGTAATATTAAATTTACATTATTTAATAAGTAAAGCTTACGACGAGGAATTAATTCCGTAATTAGCATGTTGAAAAATTTCTAATAACATTATTGGTAAGAAAAATAATATTTTGCTAGATAATTAGAGAATCATTTCATTTTTAATAGAGAAAAATAAATAATAAAAATCTAATAATTTCATTATTGTTTAATAGACATTATAATTCTATAATATAGTTAAAGTAAATGTGTTATAAAAAAAAATATAGAAAATGTAAGACAGCTTAGAAAATTTCTAAACCTACGATCATTCATTTTTAAGTTTAATCTGTATAAATGTTGGATCAGAAGGAAAAAAGAGTATTTAGTACTATATTTTTTAAATAAATTTTTTAATTAGATCTTCTTATTTCCAAGTATTTAATGCTTGTTAATTTAAAATATAATTAAAATCAAATTATCACTGCAGTAAAAAAAAAAAAAACAAAAAAAAATTCTCATATTCAAAGAGTATAATTATTCTTTTTTTTATTTTTTTATTTTTTTATTTTTTAACTAGAATTTCCATATACCAAATGGAAATTTTTAATTGAATCGAGAGTAATATATTTGTTATTTAAAAAGAGTAATCGGTAATATAAAATGAGTTATTTAAACTAAATTTAAATATTATTTTATTTTTTTTTATTTTTATTATATTTAATGTAGTTAATTAACTTTTATAATAAAGCTCACATATTTTTAAACAAATTTATATGAATATTAACTCATTCGCGAAGAAAACATTATTTAAACTAAAGTAAGATAAACAAAGTATAATATTTGAAATTTATCACTTTTGGCTATTTTGTAAAAAGTTTTTATGTTACAAACATGATAATTTGTATTTTGATTTAAATTTTTTCTATGTACGATTGTATAAATAGATTAATGCGCGCAGTCATAACATACGTGCATGCGCGCACGCAGACACGCGAGTGCCGAAGCTCGTTCGGTTTCTATATTTTAAAATGAAATGTTGAAAAATTCTGGCACTATATGTGATTATTATATTATAAATGAAAATTAACTTAATAATACGATTGAAATAACATTGTAATTTTCATAATCGGAGGTTTTATTCTGTATTATTATTCGTTGAGAAATTAAAAATAAAAAAGAATCGGCTTTTGGTATATTTGTTGAATTCACAATATCAGATTTCAATTTTAAAGCATATTTAGTCAAGGCATTAAACCGAACAGTATATGACATACATCAAATGTAAATATAACAAAATACTTATTTACATAGATGTGACGTCATAAATAACTGAACCAATAGATATAGATTTGCTTAATTTTATACAAGTAAGAGCAATTTTATTTAACTTCCTTAACTGTCTAACGTATTATATTAACTTACCAAATGTAATTTTTACTTCTTGCAATAAAAGTAATGATTTCAAGCTGTTTAAATGTAATATTATGAGTAAGAATTTTAAAGATTTATAAAGATACTTTTATAAAGATTTTCAACGTTTTTGTAAGTGAATTGAAAATACGATTAAATTAATTTAATTAATTAAATAAACAAGTTTATGAGAAAATATATGTAAATTTAGAAAAATTTTAAAATATAAAGAATATATCGGCATAACCGAACTAATAACTATAAATATACTAATTTCACTAATTTTCTACTAAAGTATGAATCTGCAATTATCAAATTTATTTGTTAAAATTGAGTATAATGCTTTCAAGAAATACAAACAGAATCAATTTAATTAACAGTCACATTAAATTACCAATTGAAAATCCAATACTAATTAATATAAAAAGTAGAGCCCTTTGTAATTGTAATATATACATTGTATAAGATGTATGTTTGTAAGTGAAAGAGAAAAGGCATTTATTACTCCTGTATTTACTTCATTACAATTAGTTTTAAACTGGGACCCGAGAAATTGATGTTAATGTATTAATATATGACGAATATACACGGGCAAACATTTTTTACATTAAAGTAAAAGCAATAGATTAATTGTATTTTTAGCCACAAGAAGAAAGTAAAGGTAATCATCGTATGTAAAAGTGTGAAATAGAGTATAATGCGTATTTTATATTTAATTTGAAAAAATGTTGGTAAAATTAAGAATGAATAATAATATTATTTAGAGCATTGTGTCATATGCGAATATTGGGCATTCGATAAGTTAATACAATCTTAGATGATAAAAAATTTTAAAAAATTGTATTTTAAATTTTTGTTTCATTTATATTTAATTTTATTTATATTTAATTTATCATAAATTTTCACGTTTGAAAAATATTTTTAAATTACTGAAGATACAAGTGATATATTTTTTAAACTAGAAACGGAAATGTAAAAGAATAATATTACAGTGAGTTACTAGAGGTTGATTTATTATTATGCACAGTGATGCATAATATTTATTGATATTAATTAATTGTCTTACTAGGAAATAATGGCTCGTGTGAATCAATATTGAACAAATGCGCTATTATAATTAAAATCAAATTTGATTATCAGCTTAACGATTAACAATTTACAAATCCATGCGTATTGTGCGCGTGTGTTAATTATCGATATTTTTATAATTGATAGTGTGAGAATAAAATAATATCTTTAAGCGAAAATGGTCGTTTTCAATTTAATAACTAATGTATTGTTTATTATTTCATTACAGTGTCGAGGAGATTGAAGAGTTTATGAAGCATAGCCAAGATTAAAGATGTAAGAAAATTTGGAATGCGCAGAACTAATCGAATATTTGAAGACATATGTGATCCTACAGGTTTAAGGCAAAATATATTTTGATATAATGAACAATTCATAATATGTTACTTTTTAATGTCAAAAATTATGAGAATTGATCATATTGTAATGATTAACAAAAAAAATGAAAACTTTATAACTATATATTACATTTATTTTTTATGAAAAAATTATTAAATCATTGTTTAGCAGACATGTTATTTAATTGCAAAATATAATTCCTTTTACTCACTTTAACATATTTCAGCATCCACTTTTCGAAAGCTTTGATTAGTAATACATTTGATTCATATTTTAGGATAGAAATTTGATAACAGGAGTCGGTAATTATTGGTTTTACCGATCGATAATTTTGGATTTTATCACTCTGTACTTTTCAGCGGTTATTTCATCATTTTTAGTTTGACTTTCACTACAATATTTTTATGTTGATTTTTATATTTTTTGATTGATAAATACCTATCTAATGAATATTTTATTTATTTAAAAAATTGTGAACAAGATGAGAGCACAATTCTTATAGGCACGAATATCGACTAACTTTGAAAATCAAAATTTTCATTGAAATATAAGCATTTTAATAAAAAATATAAACATATCTTTGATTTTTTATCACATTAATAATTAGTTGAGTATTATTTGCTTTTAATTAGAAGTTCAATTTTTTCTTATTACATTTTCTTTAATAATACATATTTATAAATAATATTATTTTACTTTATAAAGGTATATCGATCATAAGAATTTTCATAAATAACATGGATTTTGTATAATGAAGAACTGTATTCAGTAGTCCACAATTCTTCATTATATACATTATATTATATATTCCTACACCAATTTCAGTCTTATTATTTTTACGTTTAAATAATAATGTTAAAACAGTGAACCCCACATAGCGAAAATTATTAATTAATATTTATCTTCTTTCTTAACTAATCTCCTCCGTATTAAATGTTTAAATAATGAAAATTATATATAACCAATAAATTATAAAAATATTAAATGATAAATAATTAAAATACGTATGCATCAGAATATGTATACATACGAATTTCCTGAAGATTACTTAAATGGTATTAAAGTGAATTATCTCATTTGTAGTCTGTTATACATATATTTGTTTAAATAAGATGAAAACATATTTCTACCTTGCGTATTCCAATGAGAAATATTTCATATGACACACACACACACACACGCACGCACGCACACTCACCCACGAACGCACGCACGCACGCACGCACGCACGCACGCACGCACATATATATCTCCTGTTTTTCAGAGAAATAAAAAATTTCGTTTGTTACGCAAAGCGAAAATTTAATTATATTTTGTATGCTCAGGGAGCGTTAGAATTTTTGAACAATTAATCGATAAAAATCAAATTATGTTAATCGTTGAATGAATCTTTTTACATTAACTTTTTGCTATTGAATAATTTTGAATTTTAATAATTATTTCTCGAATAATTTTATAATATAATGTATCGACTGATGTATGTATGTTAAAATCTAAAGAACTTTTCAAGAATTACAAACATACGTTTTATATTACACATGGATTGATTTTTGTGTATTACGACATTTTAAGTAGGGATAAAAAACATTTAATTATATATATTTTGATTATATATATTATTTATATATTATATATTTTATACATTTGACTATTGAAATTTTTATTGTCTACATTATCAAATATCTCTAAATAGTGTCGAATTAGATTGGAAGATATAATAATATGATTTGAAAAGTATTTTTTTGGTATATATTTAGGCCAGGGACAAATATATATATATATATATATATATATATATTTTTTTTATTTACATTAAAATGATATATTATAGTTAAAAATACTGAGAAACTGTAAATAAAATTATCTTATAAAAGTGTGCAATATTAATTGTAATGTGTTTTTCATCAACTATAGTATAAGATGTAAAAGATTGTGTATTTGTAAATAAACTTACAAAGATATGTTTTAAAGATATTAATTGAAAAAATAGTTATTTAAATATTACATTAATAATTTGCTCTTTATTATCTGATAATTTTTATCGATACTTTTTTTCATTTTTCTTTTTTCTTTTGAATTACTACGGAAATGACGAGTCATATCTCTCTTATTATTGAATGTAAATAAAAGTTTAAAAGCACTGATGCTTGAAAATAAAATTGTATAGATACATAACCTCAAATATTTCCAGAACTTATCAAACGATATGGGCTAAGCTTGGATGAGAAATAGGAAGACTTGTTTCGACAAAATTTTTGGATAAAATTTAATTTTCGCTATGCTCTCACATTATCAGCAGCTATGATTTTTCAGATAGTAACATCGCAAAATCGAAATATCATAATGAAAAGTAAATACTTATTACTTTTTTACTTCCATCTACTACCTGTAATTAGAAACTATGGCATACGATATGTTAACATTTATATTATCAAGTTAAAATGACATTTTCCTGTAAAATCGAACGATGACATTTAACCTAAAAAAATTTCCCGGAAAAATAATGATAAATTGAAATTGTTTTATTAGTCGATGATTAAGAATTAGTTAAGAAGCGATGTTTACGATATCGAGAAGTCTCTGCGTACTGCATCATCTAACCTTCAGAATTATGTTCAAATGAATTCCATAGATATTTTAAAACTACATTATGTAAATAAATATACAATCTTTCATAATGTTCTGCTCGATCTTATTGGAGCTCACAATGCATTTATCATTTGATCCAACCGAGCCGTCAAGCTTGATTTACCAAGCCTCTCTCTCTCTCTCTCTCTCTCTCTCTCTCTCTCTCTCTCATAGTCCCAGTAAGCTCCGATTTTCTCAGCAGCACTGCTTTTAAGCCCAACAACGAACCTATTAATCCACTTGGAACAGCTAACTAACGTCGAGGAAATATTAGCCGCAAGCGCCACTCATCAGCTCTTGCGCTCTAAAAGGAAAATACAAATACGAGGCACAATGGTAATGGGCGAGAATGCTCGAAGAGCGTTAAAATGGAAAATTGAAGGAGCGACAGGAGGAGGGCGAGTGGCCACAGTTCGCTCCTTACGCAACGTACATAAAAGCCCATTGTTGGTAAAGAATCAGGCGCGCAGGCTCGTCCTCGTCCTACCCCCGAGCAAACCTAAATATAGGTCAATATCACTAGATTTTTCAAACTTCGTACACAAGTAAGTCAAAAAGCTCGCTTTTTCTCCCCCTCTTATTCCCGCCTCGCCCATTCCCTTCCCCGTCCCATTCCCTTCATCGTCGTCATCCCCGTTCTTCCTCCGCTGGTCTTACACTGCCGCCACCGTCACCACCACATCCATCCCCTCGCACACCCGCCTACGTGCCGTGCGGGCTGGTGCGAGAGCCTCGTCGGGAGGTGCGCGCGCGATCTCGAATTCGACTGTATCGACTCTGGGGGCGCCGGTGTGCGGACGCCGTCGTTGCTCGGCACTCGGCGACTCGTTCCTCCTCGCGCCTTTATTATCGTGCGCCAAGCGAGTGGCCGCAGTTGCGCGCTCGCCGCCGACGGCACAGCTTCTTACGTCAGACGAGGACGCGACCGCGACGCGAGACCCGCGCCACCACTGGCCCCGGCCCCGTCGTCGTCGCCGGGGAGGGAAGGACGCGAAGCTCGACAACGGGTACTGGGAGTGCGGTGGCCCCGCTGGCTTACGACGCGCTCGACTTTGGCAAGGCTGAGGACTAAGCGGCCAAGGACCCCTTATCCCGCGACCAAGACATTTCGTCAAAATTTTGGACTGAATGATCGGGTTGATTCGCAAGGGGATTCTCTCGAGTTATAATGTCCTGGCGAGGTGTTGGAAGCTCGACCGACTCGAGGGACGATTTTTGTTTCGCGAGCTCGAGGATGCCCAAGTCTCGTTTAAAGTTTCACAGTCGTCATTTTCAACAGCAGCAGCAGCAACAACCACAGCAGCAGCAGCAGCAGCAGCAACAGCAGCAGCAGCAGCAGCAGCGGCTGAAACAACAACAACGGCAGCAACGACAGCAACAGCAAAGACAGCGGATGCCCTTTGTCTCATTGGCTAAAGCGTTGACTCTTGGAAATCATTCGAATTGACAGGAGGCAATTTGTCCGCGTCACTGGGGGATTTAAAGTACCGACGCTCCTTCAAGAGGCTTTCGAACTTTCGGGAGTCACAGCGCGCCAAAATAAAAAAAAAAATAAATAAATAAATCGACAGCAACAGCAAAGACAGCGGATGCCCTTTGTCTCATTGGCTAAAGCGTTGACTCTTGGAAATCATTCGAATTGACAGGAGGCAATTTGTCCGCGTCACTGGGGGATTTAAAGTACCGACGCTCCTTCAAGAGGCTTTCGAACTTTCGGGAGTCACAGCGCGCCAAAATAAAAAAAAAAAAAAATAAAAAAAATAAAAAAAAAAAAAAATAAGTTGACAGCTGATTGAATTAAGCAACGCCGGATTATTATCACACGGGAGTTTTCTTAAAGCTTTCAAAGCTACGGATAGTGAGCGACACGCGTGAGAGAACGATAAAAACAGCGACGACGACGACGACTACGACAACGACGACGAGGACGACGACGAGGACGAGGAAGGGAACGGCAGTGGCGGCGGTGGCGGTGCGGCAGCGGCAGCGGCGGCAGCAGTGGCGGCGGTGGCAGCGGCGGTATCGGTGGTCGACTGTTGGCGGCGGCAAGGAGGCGAAGAAGGAGAGACATCGTCGCATCGATCCCCAAGCCCGGGAGTGCGAGAGAGACAGAGCCGAGGGAACGAGTTCACGCGCACACCCGTTTACAGGGATACTCGAGGCTCCCGAGCACTGACCAATTTCCAGGTTTCCCGTTAATGCGGGCGAACATGCCATAAACTGTAATGCCTCTCTGTCTGACCCGTGTACGCCCGAGGTTCTACTACAGCGGCAACTGCTGCTCCATAAATTTTTGTGTCGCCAACCTGGCTACTCCTGCTCCTATCGCATAGGCGAGTAAACAGCTTGGAGGGAGCGCGTCGCAGGCGCCAGCAGTGACTTATTTGTTGATACTGTGTATCGCATCGGCGCAGGAGGCTCCCAAGTACTTCGCGGAAGTACCGAAGAGGGATTAATACACAAGCCTACATTAGGGAAATAGATTACGCAGATAGATAGATTGATAGATAGGTGGATAGATAAATATAGATTGATAGATTGATAGTTGGATATGTTGAAGCGCTTACAAATATAGTAGTTACGCAGGCAAACGAGCACGCACGCGTACATACTCGCGTATGATTGTTGTATAAAAGATCGGAGGCTCATAATTGCCAAACCCGTAGCGTCTTGTAATTGGCCGTCAACGTTCGAGTTGGAATTAAATTCCAAGTACGCAGGATAATGATCGATCGTGAAGGGACTCTTGACGAATAATAGAGACACACACGGGTAGCGAAAATAAACACGTGTATACGCGGGCGCGCGCACACGCATACATCGTGAGAGAGAGAGAGAGAGAGAGAGAGAGAGAGAGAGAGGGTGGACTAAGAGCAAGGATCCGGGTACCGATTAAACGATTCGGAAATTGTGAATTTTCGTTGACGTTCATGAAGTTGTATGAGAGAATTTCCGGCAGCTCCTCGTAGCTCCTCGTAGCTCCTCGTAAATAATTGCCGCGCCAGGAGTTGCCGACAAAGCCGGAGAGATGTACTGCTTCCAGAATCCATTTTCGCGAGCTTCTCGCAGCGTCGTGACGAATCCTCTGAACTCAAAGTGCTCGGACACTAAACGACGCAGCTCCGAGGCGACCAGCGAAGGCTCTGGCTCATCCTCCATTCAGTATATCGATCAATTATCCGAGGCTAGTAGTACCGACACTCTGCCCGGTATCCGGAGCGACTACCTCGATAGCGATCTCTTATCCCCGGGACCGGACTGTCTTGCCTCTCCGACAATCGTTTTCACCAGCGATGACAACAACAAAACAACCCTTTCGTCCGCGAGTTCGCTCATCGACGAGGCCAATCCCACGGTCGACGAGAACGGATTCGCGACTCTTCTACAGCAGCAACAGCAGCAGCAGCAGCAGCAGCAGCAGCAGCAGCAGCAGCAGCACACCAATGACTCGAATACCACCAAGTCCGGAGGTCGATGGCGTCGCAAACTGCTCCTAAGATTGCGCTCCACCGATTCCTCAAACTCGAGCAACGGCGAGGCCGGAAGTTCTTCCGCCTCGCCCTCACCAGCCAGTGACTCCTCCTGCTCCAAGAACCTCCATAACCAGCACAACAGCAATAGCAACAGTACCGGTAGCAACAACAACAATAACAACAATAACAACAACCATCACTACCACCATCACCATCATCATCACCATCATCATCATCATCGTCAGGAGCGCAAGCTAATGGCCCTGTCGCCAAAGCACGCGCAACGTCACTACTCCACGGGCTCGACGAGCATGCTCCTTCGTGGCATCGAGAACGGATTCAGCGACGAGGACGACGACGACGTGGACGTTGACGAGGAGGAGGACACGTGCAATCTCGAGGAGACTGAGCCCGAGGACGCCTCCTCCTTACCATCGAGTCCTGCCGCACCGGCCACAGTTGGCTTAGCCACTGGCAGTCCCGTGCCCTATTACGGCTTTCTTTCCGTTAATGGTGGCGCCATGCGCCAGGAGAGCACGAGCACCAGCTCGCCCCAACTGTCAACGGAGATTCATGGCAGCGGTGATCGCACGCCCACGGGATTGCTCGAGGAGACCTCGTCCCTGAAGGAGGAGAAGCGCGCCGGTAGCAACGAGACGGTCGCTATGAAGTCCCACTTGAAGCCCGAGGGTGGCTTGGATACGTCCAGCTGCCTTCCCGTGGCGAGGTCCTGTCCGAACCTCGAGAGACAAAGCGCCGGCTGCTCGAGTGCCAGCGGCTCCTCGAGCCCGAGTCCCAGTCCCGGGCCCGCGGGTCCCAGATTCAAGCCCATCGAGGAGGGCGACATCCAAGTCTGCTACCTCAATCACACGCGCACCTTGGTCAGCAAAATATTGTCCAGCAGGTTCTTGAGACGATGGGAGACGCATCATCTTTATCTCAACGACGCCTGTCTCTCATCAAAAACGGTAAGTCTTTTCGTGACGTGGACGACGTCAATTGGCAAAACAATTTATTCCCGACCCTTCCCATTCTCCTATCGCCTGCCATTAACCAACAACACCGCACGCAACATCCGTAACTACC